ATTTTGGTTTGACTGTGATTCTTAAGTTACAATTCAAGGCCAATTTGTTCAGTTAGGTTTCTCTAAGCAGCTCTGTTTCTCAGTGTTAAGTGCTCCATGAGGCTGCTTAGTTGAAGGGTTTGTTGTAAGTGCAAGATGTAATATACTTACATTATACTTGATTATCAGTTTTCAAAAACAGCTGCATGCTTTGAGATCTGTGTAAGGAAATAATCGGAAGATAATATACCATCGGTATTTATTACTCTATAATTAAGGATGTGTCAGTGTTTCCCTTTAAAAAAACTATTTTCAAAAATTCATCTCAGGCATAAATTTCCCTATGAATTGCGGTCTAATACCATATTAGAAGTATCGTCTTTTTAAGTTCTCCCTCCCCTTCCTTTTCTTTTTGGGGAAGTAAGTTTCAGGATGTAATTTCTGGGTTATCTATTTGGGATGAGAGGAAGCAGGCCCTGTGCTCACAATGAAAGGTGCTTCTGGGGCTGATGCCACCTGCTCGCTCCCTCTGCCCTGGGCCCTTTGCACTGGGCACGATGGGGGGAGGGGGGGCGGCCTTTATGGGATAAAGAGCCAGCCTTGTATCTATGTGGATTAGCAACTTCATTGTTGTATGATGGGAAAGGCAGTAGAGAAGATTCAGCTGTTCAGAAATATCACAGATGCCGCAGAGTGAAATTTTGGTACCAGGAATCAATTATTTTGTATTCCTCTCCTTATGGTCACTTAGAATACACATGTGGCCGGGAGTGGCATGAAATAGGTCTACAGTAAGGTACCAGCCATTTTTTCATGTTTCTTCTGATAGTAAGAGAAGCAGCAGAAAGAAGAGAAGGTGGAGAGACAAAAATCTCCCGCTTCCCTCCTTTAAGGGATGGTTTTGGCCAACTGAATTGAACACAGCCTCCTCAAAGAGGCTGAGCTCTCGACCTGCGTCTACCACCACAGGACCCACAGAAACTCATCTTCTCCTTAGGCCCTCAGTCTCCCCGCATCTAAAATGGGGAGGTTATGAAACATAAATGCTTACCAGAAGAGCCAGGAAAGTTGCCTAAGTACATGTAAATCCAGTAGATTGCAAGACCACAGGAAATGGCAGGGGGCTGTGATGGACAGAGACTGAATGCCTACCTACTTGGGTAATAATAGGAATAATAAAAACACTTAAAATACTGGCTGTACTACGTGGCCTCTCATGGCCCTTTAAATAACAGCATAGGCAACAAAACAACACCCTGTGGCCTTTCCACTCTTGCCTGGTGGGGGCTGGAATAGAAGGAAACTGGGGGTCCCATCATGCACATTGAACTTGGTGCTTCCTGAAAGACACATAGGTGACAATGACACTATCTCACACAGGGAAAGGCTTACACAAAACATCTTTTTGTTTCTATAACACAGTCTGTCTCCCAAATACGCCATTATCTGATGCCTTGATTTTCTCCTTTGTGAAATGATGGGAATATTAAATTTTCAAATATAAAGGACTTCAAATTCCAAGAAAGGTGTTGTTACATAAGTATTCCTGTACAAGTTGCCCCATAGGTCTGCTATTTCAATGCAGCAACAGATAGGATAGCAGTGGAAGCATTTTCCATTATCTCCCAAAAAACATCAGTTCTTTATATCAGTTTATGAGAACAATCATGGACTTGTCCTAGGGTTGAACATTATTACCATAGAGGTATGGGAGAATATAAGGCGTTACTCAGGTAGTGATAGATAATGGGAAGAACCCTGAAGACACTGACTGACCCCAATTTCCAATTTAGGAAAGTGGGCCATAGGGTGAGTGGGGATGTTGGTTCCTGAAATCCTATGTGCCTCCTATGCAGCTAGGGTATCCTAAAGATACAGAAGAGGACTCCCTTTCACAGGATGGACTGCAGTTAAAGTAGAGAGGCCACACATGGCTCCTGTGTCTTGAATAAGAAAGGGGACAGAGCAGTTAGGAGATCAGACAGCTCTGTGCTCTGAACTTTTCAAGACAAGAAGACTGGCTCATTTAACATTTTCTGTCATCTTCCTGTCATTATTCTTCAACAGGGAGTTCAGAGAGCTAGAGTTTTTCATCTTGGATCTGAAACCATAGAGGCATTAGTTACAAATGGTGATCAGCAGCCCCAGGAAAAAGGAACCCGTGGACAGTCAAGTCCAACTTTCTTCCTAGTATGATTAGTTTCTGTCAAGGTTAAGTCCTTGGCTCCTGGGAAGCAGAGGAGTCTTGTCATGCAAAACTGGCCATTTCTTTCACAGTCTGAGGGAGATGTTTTTCAGACTTGATCTAGTTTAGAGTCAAGAAATGTTAAGGATGGCATGGTAGCACAATTAACCACAGGCATCCCAAAGTATTTATAGCTCCGATCAAAAGGTATATCCAATAATAACATTTAAGATACGCAAAAGGTCATAAAGAGTAGGAATAAGCTCTTGTGTACTGTGATCCAGCTTAAGAAATAGAGCATTAGCTGTATGGTGTATGTACCTCTCCCACTTACATGTCTGTTCTTTCTACTATCACTCCTTTGACTTAACCGTTATTGTAAATTTGGTATTAATTCCCATGTTTTTTTGTTATACTTTAATCATATATATACGTATCTTTGAGCAGCACATAGAATTGTTCACGTGTTTTAAAACTTGTTACATTTTAATGAATCGCTTTGAAGGGAAGGCATGTTACAGAAACATGAGTTGTCCTCTGCGTAAATTCCAATTTTAAAATGAACCATGTTTATGTCGATGGTTTATAATATACTCTCTGTATTGATAAATATAAAATCTTACATTAAAGACCATCCAATTTTCCACTGAAACAAAAAGGCACTTAGGGCCATACTTATTAATAGTCAATAGAAGAACAGAACTCAGAATATGTCAGCATTAAAAGACAGCACAGACTATCACTGGAAAACTGATTCTATCACCCACAGAAAGTATGAGACTTAAATGCAATTTTTTTGTGGCTCATAATATTTCTGGGTAGCAGATGCTTTCTCTAAAACAGATTTTACTTTTAAAAATATCAAATATAATTAACACCTTCAACATAAAATGCAGTCTTTGCTTCCAGATGCATTTCAAGGTGTTGAAATGAATCTATGCAGCCCTCTATGGCTGAGTTTCCATCGACTTATTGAATCTGCTGCCATCTTTATGTGGCATGTCTGAAGCACTGAGAGTGAGAACAGGGCATTTAAACTTAACTGTATTTGAAGGTTGCTTATTAAAACAGGAGTGTTTTGAGAATGCATAGGTTAAGAACTAAGTGCCCTGTTATTTATTATAGAAACACCTAGCCAGAAGTATAACCTAGACCAGGTAAATTCAGGGCAAGCATCATGGACATGGTATCAAGGTCTTGATAATGGGCAGACTTTTAAAGACATTTAAAATTAAAATTGGTGTAACAATTTACAAGAATAAAATTAACTGAACTGAATGTAAAAAAAAAACAAACACAACATATTCAACAACTACATTCAAAACAATTTTAAATCTGTTTAGTGAGAGTAAGAGAAACAAAAACTAAAGAGTCAACTTGTAGTCTCCAGTATTCTGTGACTTCAACAAAATATGGGTTAACTTACTTAATAACACTTCATTGCACCATATCGTGGGCGTTAGGAAGCATGTGAGTGTGAGTGTGCACACACGTGCACACACGTATAGTTATCTTTTCAACTGTTAAGAATTACACATTTACAAACTTTTTATTGCTTATTTGCACTAATACCAAATCTGACTGCATAGTTTTAAGAAGTGACAACTTTAATGTAAATTTGTATTCAAGAAGAAATCCTGGCTGCAGGTAAAGATAAAATTTGAGTTTATAGATATAGAAAAAACTCCATACACAACTTTCAATATTATATTCACCAAAATCAGGAAAATATTTAAATTTTGGATGTACGCTCTGAAAGCTAAATGTTTTTATTTTTTCCTCCATCAATTAATGGGAAAAATATATATGGATAGTGATTGTGCATACAATATCTTGCTATCATAAAATGTGAGCCCATTATTTTCAGGATAGAAAAACATAGTAAACCAAGCACTGTTTCTTGGCTGTGAGATTATATGTGTATTATTATTTTGAGAAGATGTCATCTACGACATGGCACCTTTGTGAGTGAAGCAACCTTACTGGTCTCGTTCATCTCCTTAGAGGGTAAACACTGTCCTGGAAAAGTGTCTGAAAACCTCTGATGCATACTTATATCTTTACTTTTGCACTTAGGAGGAGCACAACTGACAGGTTCCAAGTTCCACAGTCTTAAGATTGGAAGGGACTTCCAAAATAATCCCTCAGCCTTTTGGTTTGTGGGTGAGGAGGTCATCTGCTCACTGACTTGCCCACAAGCTAAGACTCAAAGCCTGTGCTGTGATGTCCCATCATACATGACAGATCTCACACTATTAGGGAGAGAACTCCCTGTGCAAAGATGGAGCTTGTTGTTTCTGCTACTTACGCTCTGCTTTTAAATTCCCAGGCCTCATGGGCCCTGAATTCCTGCTTTCTTTGATCTGCAGGTGCCTCTGTGCTGAGGGTTCTATCTAGCTCCCTGATCTATTGCCTGCTTACCCTTTTGATTCCTGTCAATAGGCCCTACTGGACTTCTAATCCATTGCCTGCTCTACGTAGGATGCCCGTTAGACCACTGGCAGCCTTTGTCTGCCCTCCTCTCCTTGGCTGCTCCTCAAGCTGCAGTGTATAGAAGTAACTCATTTCAAAAGCTAGTAAAGTTAGAATTTACCTGTCAGTAAACAGAAGATGGTTTATCAACAGACTTTACCTTAATGACTACAAATGTTTACCTCCTGCTTTCCAGAATGCAAAGAAAATCTTGGAAATGTCATAATATCTTACAAACATTTGCAAAACAGATCCTTGTTCATCCGGAATAGAAACAATTGTATTCGTTGTCTCTTGACACAAGGAAAATGTTCAGTGAGAAACATACAGATAGATGTCCACACTTACACGTAAATGAGATATGTTAATTAAAAATGGCAGAGGGCACTTTATTAAAAATTTATTTTACAATCTAGCCATTCAAAACATCTTTATATCAACAAATACAGCAGCTTGACAGTTGGAATCATAAGTGATTTATCTTGAAAATATTATATGTGTAGCTGGATCCAAATATATTCAAGGAATATTTATGTCAAAATTACTGGTTTTGTTAGAAGTATTTTGATTTCTCTATTTTAACCCATGAAAAAAAATTAAAATAAGTATCTCAGTGTTCCTTTTATGGGCAAGGTGGCTGCACTCAGTGCATTTCCCATGTTTGTTCGAATTACAGCTGTTTATCTTGCAACTTTCTTTAAGATAAATTAAATGCAAATGTAACTCTGTGAATCATGGGAGTACCTGCCAGGCCCCTTATTAATACCTTCACTTACAAACCCCTGTGCCAGAGTCATTAATTTGCTAAAAGAAAAGTGCTCAAGCAGCCCTTTGCCATAAACAATTCTGAGATGGCTGCCCAATTAGTCCCATAGCATTCTGATCCTCCTTTCAGACCCTGTGGCCCTTTGAGGACACAAGAAGGCTCCGATGATAACCTGGCAACCTAGGTAGAAACTCAGCCAAGTGCGAGCGTTTGAAGCTGCAGTTTGGCTGCCATCGTGTCGGCGAAAAGAAAGAATTCAGGCACCATGTCATCCAGTACAAAGGATAAAAACGGATTCAACCGGAAATTCAATGTGGCACCACATATGGGATACATGAGTGCGGTTATACAACAGGCCACATATTTTTTTTGAACAGTCTCCTCCATGTGATGCCGAGGACATGTGTAACCATCATAACGTCTCTAGGAATCTGTATTTAATTTGAGTTGGGGTGGTGGCAGGGATTGGAGATCTGAAGCCGCCACAGGTTTGTGGCAGATGGCTCTGTGTCAGCTATGACAAGCAGCCAGGCTCAGCTTCCTCTGCAGATTTTCTTTTCTCTCTGATCAGGTAAATATGGGCACACTCTGGAAAGTTCTACAGATTCTGCCTTAGGCTGCAAGTTTGTGACTTAGCCCCATCTGTCACAAATCTTCCCTAGGTTCTGTTGTAAGCAGAGACCTGAATTTCCCATGTAGGGCTGCCCAGGAAAAAGGAGTCACTTCACCCTGTAAGAAGGAGGGAGACAAGACAAAGCATTAATGACCGAAAGGCTAAACTATGCTGAAAATTCATATTGCAAATTTGCATTAACTGACATCAACTGGATTTCCAAAAAAAGCCACGAAGTAAATGGTTCTCGAGTTTTATCACCTCAGGAAATCCCAGTTTCTGATTGGTTTAAACTATAATTATTTCCAACCATAGGGGAAAGCTCCTGTTTTTTTTTTTTTTTTTGCAAATGGGTACATTTTGCTGCACACATATTTCCTGGTTTATGTTATGGATGACAGCTATTAGAAGTTTATCATCCAACTTTTAACTTTTATAAACACAAGATACACAACACTTTTGATACATGTTTTTGCTAATGTGAATTTTACTTTTAAGTGGGGAAGCACAAGAAAACTGCCATTACATTACAGGGCATTTACAAAGCGCTTCAAGTTTACAAACAGGTTTATAGTCATTATTTCATGATAGCAGATCCTTAGGGGGAAAATGCTATTACGGATAAAGAAAAAAAAATTCTTCCAAGTTTACAGATGAATCATATAAAGGGTAAGCAATGCACCTAAGAGCTAGGCCGCAAATGAGCAGCCAAGGACAAGAAGCCAAAATCTCTAAGTAATCTCAATCACCCAAAGTATCTATTATGCTAAAGATTTTTTTACTTTTATTTTACTTAGACCAATCAAAGGAAGACCAAGCCAAATAAAATCAAGGAAGGAAGTGAAAAAGGAGGAAGGGAAAGGAAAGGAAGGGAGGAGAGAGGGAGGGAGATTGACACGAAGAATTTGCTTTAAATTGTGCTGGTGTGGTTGAGAGATTTTAGAAGGTCTAAAAATGTCACAAGCTTTTAAGTTTTCATTTTTAAGGAAAAAGTAATGACTTTGGAGGAATGTTAATACTTGTGAGCAACACCTTAGTGACATCTAGAGTATAAGCTCAAATTAAAAGGGGACTATAAAGTGACCAGTCTCTTTAAGGAAATAAAGTGGCTTGGCTGTGGGTCGGGTAGATAGGGCCTGATATAATTAAGACAGCCACAAATGGCTTTTCTGGGCACTGGGTCTGAATTATAAGCTTAATCATTGTTTGGAGTCACTTGTAGGCAAAAATCTGAAAATTCTTCTCCGAATAACAGCAGAATACGAAGGTTTCTAGAATGTTAAAGAACTTGAAGAGGAGGATAAAATAAAAATCAGCAGCTATTATCTGAAAAATCTTAAGAAACTACAGGTCACTTTTGACAAGCCCAAGAAAGAATGACATCTCTTTTTTTTCACACTGAGTATTGCTCAATTTGTCAATAAAAGTAATGAGAAATAGGACAGGAATGAAAATTGAATATATGTTAATCTGGGCAGTACCTACTTTATATACCATCCCATTTGTACTCTTGTGCTATTTTCAATAATGATAACAAGGGAATGTCCATACATTTTTTTAAAGCCTTTTAAAATATAATGATCAAAGGTTCTCTAAAAGCATAAAGTATTGATCTCAAATAATTGTTGGGAATATTCAGAAAATAAATTCACACAGTAAAAATATGGCAAAAAAATACACAACTTCATGGCATTGGACTTGCTTGGGTTGTAAAAGGAAGAACTATAGTTAGTATAAGAAGTCAATCCTTGGATAATTATTTTATGATTACTCCTAGAATCTTGCGTTCAAGTGAGGTTTGGGAGTTGTAACAAGCTCCTATTTTATCTATGTGACAAGGATGTGGCCAATGTGTCTAAACTACTTAGAAAAGGAAATGTCCTGAAAGTACAAGAAAGCTGCAGTCAGTGACTAAACCAGGGTGTAAACTTTTTAAAGAAATGGTTTTAGATTTTTAAAATTAAAAAAAGTAATAATTTTAGATTTTTAAAATAATTGAGAAACATTTAATTTCTGCATGCATTGGATTTCTGTAAAGATCTTAAGAAAAGTGTGTGTGAGTAAGAGAGAGAGAGAGAGAGAGAGAGAGAGAGAGAGAGAGAGAGAGAGAGAGAGAGAGAGAGAAGCACACTTGTATGCATGCAAAGAATTTAAACATTTCAAGTCTGAAACCATTTCAGGTAAGAAGTCATGGGCACAATGTTCTGTAGTAGAAAGAGTCTCGTTAAGGAAAAAAGGTATCGGATTCTGTTTCTGCCTTTCAGTTACTAGCATTCTGTTTCAAATCCTGCTTCAAGTTAGAGCCCCCAAAGTCTCACTCATATTGAAAGTATAATGTCTCACGTGAGAAGAAAGCCAAGCGTGAGTAGCCTTATTCTAGTCATTAAATTTCTAAGTGTGAATCCATATGAAAAATCCTATCCTAAAGTGAACTCTATCTGATAAGCAGTTGAGATAATTTAAAAATGCAAACTTTTAACACACAAAAAGTGTTAAGGTGTAAAAATGTAAAAGGAGCAAATTAAAAAATTCAGTGACATTCTATCCTCTTAGATCTTATAAGCATATGTTTTAGGAAAGCAAAACAGCACTGTCCAATGGAATAAATCTAAAACAAAAAACCCTCGACATTCTCTTTACAGTACACACAAAAGACTCTTCGATTCTAAGAAAAGTAGGTAAAAAGCTGTCTTGGAGGAAATAATTCTATGGTATTTAGTGAATGCAAATGTTACCTGAAAATGTGTATATTTATAAAACACAAGGTGAAAAAATATTATAACTTATACCTCAATTAAAAGTTTTAGAAGGCGTACTTTTCCTGTATTGGCTTTAAATCCCATTACAACAACAAAATTAAATATGTGGTTCTTTCTGTCATTTTTATCAGTTTCTCCTGACAGCCTGCATCTTAAAGCTCTTAATTAGTTATAATTTTTGGACTAATTTATTAATTTTGGAGATTAATTTTTAGATACAATATTGTCAAGATATATGAATGAGGACATATATGAAAATGTGTAATAGATTTATAAGAAAAAAATCCATGGTAAATAAAGACATAAAAATAAACTATACATATAAATTCTTATAAATGCTTATGCATAAAATACTAATTTATAAAACTTTGAGATGGAGCATTTTAGGATTTACAGACTAAAATAGTAACAGAAAAAAATAGTAACAGAAAATAACCTTTAAAGCGTAGGTTATCTTTTAAGCTGTCTGAGGAATAATTTGGTATATTGACAGCATACCACTGAGCTGACATTCTTTCAGAGTTTTTCCAGAAGTTGTTTGTGAAATAAATAGTTATAGCTATGTTACGGCTGCAGCTATATTAAAATATTTTATTTGGAGACCTGTTTTCTTTTGTAACTAAAGGCAACTTGTTGCAGTAACTTTTGAAGTGGTTAGAATTTTGCAGATGCAAAACAACAGAGTTAGTAAGGCCTAACTTGAAGGAAAGTTAAAAAGTGATAAATTCTGATGGTGAAAATACAATTATCAATACTTCACCGTTCTCATCACAAGGAAAAAACATGTTTTTTTTCTTTATTTTTGTATATATATATATATATATATATATGAATGATGATGGATGGTTGGTAATCATGTCACAATATATGTACATCAAGTCATTATGCTATATACCTTAAATTATGCTGTATGTCAATTGTATCTCAATAAAACTAAAAAAACAACTTCATCCAAAATTCACCCAAAGGAAAAATACTCAATAATTTGATGGTGAAATCACTGAAAATAGCTGTGTGTCATATATAGAAAATAAATCCATTTGTATTAATACTGATTATTCTATTTCTTTAGTTCTCATAATCTGCACATTTTGATAGTCTGTCACATGGGAAACGACAATTAATATTTTATACAAACAAGACCACTATTGAACTTTAAGAATTAGGAAATCTGGACGTAAACCTTGGAAGGCTGTTTTCTCTGTGAAGCTATGTATACGATACCATCACATTGACTCAAGGAGTAACACTGACGCCTGGAACTGTTCAGTCAGCATTTTAAACTATTATGAGCTACCTTCTGAACCATTGCCAAGTTAATAGACAATGAAAGATAATGAGCTTGAAATTGGGTGTTAAATTGCATTTTTGGTTCTCTCCCTTTTTCTTGAAGTTTAACTGTTTCCTGCAGAAACAAAGTCATGTTTTGATGTATCACTATGTAAATATGTATTTTAGGCCATGAAAAGGGGGCAGGAGAGAAACAAGGAGGCAAAACGGTATGTCATGAAGGAAGGTTATACATTAACATAAGAAAATTAAAATACGCTGGATTGTAAAACTGCTAGATTGTAAACTATACTGAATTTATGTAAAAGGAAGATGCTACATTCAAAGAATATAAAAAGGTATATTACTCATGGCCTAGAGCCACCTTCAAAACTCATAAAGCAGATTTATCCCAGTTCAATTACTTAGACATTTAGCAGGGCCTCTTTGTGTTCTTATTTCAACAATGTAACATTCTTGATTCAAACAAGGGAAAAAAGATAATGAAGGAGGGGACTGAACGATGATGCTATTTAAACTTATGTTCCTTTGCCTTTGCCACTCAGAGAGGAGAAGACTGACAGTCTAATTCAAATCAAAGTGAAGATTTTTATGTCATTTTATTAAACCAGGCAGGAGAAACATGTGATTCTTGAAAATCATCGTTAAAGTAGTTAAAAAATGAACACCAAACTTCACTAATGTCATTCACCTGAATTTTTGAGGACTGAAGATTTCATTACGATGGGAAGAAAGGCTTATCCTCATTAGTATAATTGTGGAATCTTTCCTTTACTTCCTTTTAAACTAATGAGTTACATTAATCCAGGTTCATTTCTATAAGCCTCTTGGGGCTAAATGTAAAGGACAGTCATCTTAGAAAACAATAAATTTAAAAAAAAAGCATGTACTGTGCATTAAGTGCACGTATTTCATAAGACCTAGGTTAATACAACTGGCATCCAGTTTAATTAATCCTTGTTAGTGTAACAACTAATATCCCTCCCTAGCATGTTTCCTTTAAACATTAGTATGTTAATTAAATGTTTTTTTTTTAAGATTTTTTTCTTTGTACTTCAATATGGCATTTATACCACATAAATCTCTTCTCAATAACTACCTTATAGAGATGTTTCCTTACAATATCTGGTCTCTTGCAGAAATTCCGGAGCCTTTTTGAAAGCTGTTCAGGTGTAGAATACAGATATTCAGCTGCAGGAAAAACAGATACATTTTTAATGAAACAAAAACCTCAAAGCACACACTCGATATTAGTCACTTTACTAATTAAAAATGCATATTGCTCTGTGCTGCCTCGTGTTTTACATTATTTAAGCATGATTTTATAAGGTTACCTCAGCTCACAAGGATGTTTAATGCTAAATAAGACTGTGTAGTTGTGCTGTTTAGACATCTCCTTTGGGTGATTAAAATACATTATTCTAATGTAACACAATGCATATGTGATATATTTAGTGATGAGGTATTTTTTTCCCCAAAGAACTGGTACTATAGCCGTATGTACCCTGCACAACAGTTGCATATTATTAACTAGTCAATTGTTTAAATAATTTGGTGTGACTTTTGGTCCTCGATTTTTCTTTGTGTATATCATTTAAAAAAAAAATCTGTAAGCAATTGCAGCAACACTGACCTGCTTATAAAAATCCATCATTATGGGACGTGTATGCTAACAATGAAGAATGCTATTTGAAAACTTGCTTTTTTGTTATCTTAAAAGAACAGATGGTAAATATAAGCTTACTCTAATGTATTAAAACACATAAAATTTCCCTTAACACTAACATGTTGACTTGCCAAATAAACAATTGCTCCTGCCTAAGTTTATTTTCAAACTTTCTAATTTAGCATGAATCATGTATTAAATCTCAACAAAGACGAAAGTACATGAAAGCAGCTACCTGGAAATATTTCAGGATACACCAAATCTTTGGGACAAAGTGGGTAACAACCACAATACACAGCTTCCAACCTAAAGAAATTTAGAAAGGAGAAGATATATTAAAAAGACGTTACAATCATAGCCAGGGAGTGGTTTTTGTTTGCCTAAGTGAACAGTATGAGCCCAGAGTTAACTGGGATGAAAAACATGGTCGGCAGTACGAGTCTAAAAGCCAAAGTTGCTCTTTTAAAAGGTTTTATTGATCATATACGAATTTCATAGAACAGAACCAACAGCATATGTTTTGTTCACTGAATTAATCAAAGCGCAGCTCTGCATTTTTTTTTTGTTTTTAAAATACTGTTTAACACATTTTATAATCAGCAGATAAACACATGTAACAACATGGAAAAGTATGGACAGCTTTTCTTAATAATGCTGCAAAGCCCCAGAATGTTCTTTTTTTTTTAAATGTTTAAATAAAATAGCAAATACTTAACTTTAATACTGTAGCCGTAGAAATGATCGAGGCACTTTTAAAAGCACCAGAAAAAAAATTTACAATCTGTTGTGATGGGGCATTTTCATTTTTTAGCTCCGGCTTCAAAACAGCTTATTATTATGCAGAATGTGAAACCGTTCCCCCTTTTATTGAAAAAACTCTCATGAAGATTACCTTAATGAACATTTTGCTGTTCCTTGGCTAAAAATCCAGCTCTTCTTTCTTTTTTATCAGAAAAGAATACTTTTATTATTAAACAAAGAAACAAGAAAGTTTCACTTTGTGAGAGGCTTTCCTCCAAGGACCACCTATGCGAAGTTTTTCTTCACGTCACAGTAGTAAGGGTTAAGCTGAAGGAGAAGGTACTGCGTCTCCATGGTTGTGTCAACCCTGCATAATGGCTATTGATCTGACATATAATAAACCTTAAAGATACCACTGTAATTTCTGTTGGCTAGGAATTATGCAGTGAAATTCAAAGCACTCTTTAAAATATGTTTATTTTATGAGAGACTCTGAATTGCATCCAAAATGTTGACCAAAGGCGGAATTTTATTTTGAACTGCAGATTTTTTTCAACCCAAGAATAATTTGAAGTTATGTCAATGTTTACCTTGTTTATTTACAGTGACAAAGTACATGCAATTTAAGCTGTTTTTAAGTGGGTGATGTGTTCCCTATTTTATTATGTTAACTGAAATTAGTTTAAGTAAAAAGTATTTACTTTGAGCTGCAAAGTTTGGAAAAATACCGAGTTCAAAGTTTTGCTGGAGAACTGATAGAAGTCACGAGATAACGCAGGGGAAAGGCACAGGATCTAGTTAACAATTATTAACTTCAAAATCCACACTAATACCTAATATTTTTTCCTCTACACATGAAGGGTCCGCATAGAAATTCTTGTCGTAAGCACAGCTATAAACTGCACTGTGACCGCATTATAAAACATTCACAAAAGTTTTGAGCACATACAGCAGTGATATTCTTTATGAACCAAGAGAAAATATGCACTTTATCCGAAGACACTCAGTTTTAAAATGCAGTGCCAGTCGAAAAGCAAATACATATGAACATTCTCTTATAATTACATAAAATCAAAAGAGTGAAGTCACAGGCATTTCAGAAAGTGCACATGTTATCTGCTTTTTAATAATGGATTTGAACTACAGTGTTCTGTTCCCCGAAAGAAAATTGCAGGCCAAGTTACATTTTGAGTCATCGCATGAGCACGTACCAGGCCATTTCCAAAAAAGCCTCTGCTAATTAAAATGCAGTGAGATAGGGATGACATTATTTGAATTAGGAAGAAATAATTTACAAATCTGGATTTCAACTTTTATTTGTAAATTATCTTATGTGTAGTTGTGTTTTTAATGCATCACAAAACAACCACCACTTTTGGTTATAATTCTGACTTGTTAAAATACCAAACCGTGCTATGTACATTATTTATAGCAGGACCATGTTTTAAAATGTATTATACAGGCCATACTATTTTAAAAGAAATTTATAAAATTCATTCTCACAAGTTTCTCATATTTTTTTATTTTGAAAAAAACTATCATCGCTTGACAATAATACAATTATTCATCATTTCAATTCTTATGCACTACCAGTTAAATAATAAATAGGGTTCCAA